CTCTTACAGCCAGGTTTGTCCAAACTTTGGCCAGAAGTAAGGCTACAGCCCAACTTTCAAAAATATTATGCTCGCTTTAACAAATTCTCGTTTCTTAGTTCAGTCGGTTTCAGGGAAACACTGAGGGCCGCGGGAAGTCGCCAGAGACGCAGGCAAGAGCTGATTTGGTAAACATCGTATTTCAGTGGCAAAATGCTCGCTTGCTCATGCAGCGATCGAGTTCGATTCTTGACCGATGTAACAATAGCAGGAAAAAAAAGTTAAATTAGTTGATCATTCAAAGATTTTCTTTCTCGTTACAAGGAGCTATTTTTGGCATTACATATGATTATTCCATAAACGCGGATTAATTTATTCAATTCGTGCATTTAATTTCAACCGAAAAGCGATTCAAGGAACACCATATTGCTCTTGTTTGACGCTGATATTCCAAAAACCTGCATAATTTGTTCGCTATTAAGTGCCGCAGGTGCAACTTGCATCTGCAGGGAAGATGTTCGTATACAGACTGATTTTCACGGGGGAACTGGATCAATGATAGCTCTATTAACAATGTGTTTCTTAGCGTACAAGTACGCATCCAGCAGCTGGGCTTGCAGGTACGGATTTCTACCCCAAAACGTTTTTACGTCGAAAACGCTATATTTGATAGAATTTTTGGCGAAGCAATTAATAAAAATGAAAATATCAGATCGATCATTCCATTTCAGGACGTAACACATCGCACTCATTACTAATCATTACCATCTCTTCTTGTCCGCTCCAAATATGTCTGGATTTACAGCCGCTAATGTTTGATAATTTGGATCAAATGTTTCAGCCTGAAAAAGTCAGAACAGTACAGTTCTCCGTCGGTTAATTTCTGGACAAACGAATAGCAGTTCCGGCTAAGGCGGATCTGAAGCAAAAATGTTGCACTCGCTGAGGGATGTCAGAAGGATAACGTATAAATTACCACATGCGCAGTGAAGAACAAGAATAATCGCACTAACTTTTCCGGGCGTTCCTTGGGGAGCTCGAATATTTGGCAGAGCACCATCCGCAACTTTTTTGTCCGCGCCAAAAATGTCCTGATTCACAGCAGCCAAAGTCTGATAATTCGGATCGAATGTATCTGCCTGTGCAGAAGTAAGCTACAGCACTGCTGATATTGAATAACAGTTCAGCCTGAGCACTGACCTTACTTCACACTCTACAGCAAAATGTTCTGCGCAATTAAACAGTGCACGGCACTGATGCATGCGCACATCATATGAAAATGTGCACAATCCGCTTACGCTGCTGGTAGCAAAATCAAAACTCCAAAATTCGGTTTGTTTCGGCCGGGCTGAAGTGTGGGTTGCAATTCTCATTGCATGCCTCTCAGATTGCAAGTGATTTTAAACTGGAGCTTCGATTTCGATCTGAATGGTGGGGTAAGAGCAAAGGTGAGTGGTAGAACCGGCAATGCTGGTTTAGGTCACAAGGACTGCGACAGAAACAAAGGGTTGAGAATATAATGACTGGAAGGGAGCTGACGTTCTGCTTGGAGGTAGAAACTAGAAACAAAGGTGGGAATTTTGCGGGAGAGAGATTATATGAATCTGTGATGTTCAGTGTGATGCTGAGTTAAAGCTGATAAGCTTGTGCTTGCCATCGAAAGGAGCCGATACTCAATCAACTGATAGAAAACGATGTTACTGACAGAAAAATTCAGTCTGCAATGACTCAAGTACGAGCGACGATTGTGCAACAGAGAAAAAATTGTTGTCAAGAACATAAGTCGGAATCATTTTGAAAATAAAAGGAACCCGTGCACTCATGTTCTTCCTGGTTTTGATTTCTTCGAGCGCTGTTGTTTTCGTACACGAATATGCCAAAGCGGAATTTCTTATTTCCAGTGACATTATGACTGAGTAAGCAGCATGCGGTTTGTGCAGTATTCCCATCTTTGTTTTCTTCTTACAGAATCATACAAAAGCGAAAAACCGAGAACTGCACACGGTCATGACTGCCCCATCGACCCCACCTAACCCGCAAATGAGTGCTTTTTGCACAAAATGAGCTCATATTGGACTGCCCAAGCGAAGCAGGGCGAGTTTTAGTAGTTGGCGGATTTAAAAGAAAAGGTGGTGTAGGGTTCCAGAATAAGTGACTTTTACTGGCAAAATTAAGCGTGCCACTTTGATTTTGGTGGCCTGGGTTATGTTCGGTCTTTAATCATTTTCAGCTTGTTTTTTAACGAAAAACTCTGGAAAAACGGAG